TCATTTATACAGATGTTGAATACAACTAAGCCAAGGATATCGTCTAGTGAAACTCTGCTCAAAAGCACTGGTACAAACTGAAGCATTCATGAACACTTGCTGCTTACTATTGTGAATTTCATACAATAGTAATATCATTCAGCCTCTATTTTACCATATGCCTCAAGGATATTATAGGAAGCTTTGTTCAATGCTTTCCTGAAGACTTTTACACCTTTCCCATAATTTTATTTATTTATTAGATTTGTATGGGTGCCCACCATAAAATATAACTCTGGGCGCCTCACAACAACAATAAAAACCCTGCACTATGAAAACCATAAAACTGTAAAACACAACCAAAATGTGGCACCCCAGTCATCCCCTTGGGATGCCCAAACAACCAACCCGAAACATCCTCACTCTACCCCAGCGCCAGGGTAAAAGCCAGGTCTTGATGACCTTCCACAAGCATGATTTACAGATTTGACTTAATTCAGAGACCCTCAAATTCTGTGATGCCTTGACTCCCTAAAATGATTTGTATGACCCCTCCCCAACAAAACATATAACACCAACTATTAATTTCATATCAAAGGTGTTCCTTAACCTATTCCTGACCCCCTGACAGCCAAACCTTGTCAGAACTGGTCTCACTAATGTCTCAATTCAAGCAGAGCAAAACTAAGTTCTTAGAGGGCTCCTGTTTGTACTTGTAAAGCCAGATCATTGTTGGAATGATGGTTTGTGCACAAAGAATTGGATTGCTATAGGATAGGAATTGGCAACCTTCTTCATAGGAGACAGAGGCCATGTCTGTGAGTGGATGGCAGGCCACTCTTCCCTCTCTCTTGGACGAATACACTGGCACTTGGGAAGACTCTTTGGGGAAAACTCTTTGGGTGTTTCCTTCTTAGGGGAAAGAAAGGGAAGCATGGCCAAAAGGGAAAATGAGGGCGTGCTCCGCAGTCTCAGAGCATCTCTTGTGAAAAGAAATGCCTATGGAGGGAAAAGGAAGGTATACTGTAAGCATATGTGTATATCTATATATGGATTCATAATATCATCAAAATCATTAGAATTTAGTAAAGTAGTGTGGTTCTACATTAGGCCTGAGATAAAATTACAAACTTCTTTTTTAGGACTATTGCAGGCCAGGTGGATGTTTCTTTTGGGGACTATGGTCTGGATGATTTTGGGTGGTAGGCCAACCCCTGCTATAGGGAATGGTGCATGGAGGGCCACAATTCCTATTTCTAAGGTTCCAGCTTGAGAAATCTGCACAAAATTAGAGGTTATAGGTGAAATCATGGCATGCTGAAGACAAAACAAAGTCTAATTAGGCCTCCTGGTTAAAGCAGCAATCTTCCAGTATACAAACAGGAAGGGAGGAGGAGAAGAGCTATTGACTGCAATTCCCCCTCCCTTCTACAACCCCATTGACAAAGGATGCTCCTTAGTAGTCAACATGTCCTTTTCTATATGGTCACAGGGCAGACTTAATCTATCCTATGATTTTGCCTCATATTATTTTTAATATAATTGATTTATAGTGTTCTGAATTTCCCCCCCCCCCTTTCAATGACAAGATCAACAAACTGGCCATACCCTGGGGTCACCTATTCTTCAAAAATTCTCAAAGGTTATAGCAACATAACCTTACTCTAAGGTAACATCTATACATTTCTGGGATGCTTTATCTCTAGAGAGTTTAACTTACTTGGTGTTTTTTTAAATCATGTTGGGCAGCTTCAACATCTTTCCAAGAAAACCTACAATTCCAAAGGGCTGAGCAGATGTATCCCAATGTTACTTTATGATCATATCCAAAGAACAGCAGAACCGGTACAAAATGGCACCTCTAATCCACAACTCCCTCAAATACTCCCAAAGGATACCATGATCAGTGGTATCACAAGTCATTGAATGGACTGGGAGTTATTACCATAACCATATGTCTCTCTCAGTAAATTATTCATCAGAGCACCCAAGGGCAACTCCATATAAAATCTGGGTCAAAATACTCAGTTTCCTCTAAATGTTCCTCTGGAATTGCAGTATTGATACAGAATACAAGCCTATAATTATTAAAATTGGTTTGGTCCAAAGATGGCTTCCTTAATCAAGGACCTAACCCACTGCCCCTTTAAACTGACGGAATTGCTGCTTCTTGTGTCTCACCACTAAGCACCATCCAAAAAATGAATATTTTAATCAATTTTCAAAGTCAATGGCTTCAGGTTATGAAATTCCTTTCCCTGGAAACCTGCTCAGCTTTTATTAAGCCTTTTACTCCATCACAGCAGATTGTGAGGGTGCAAATCAACATCTAGGTGAAGAGAAGGGAAGCTGTTCCATCAGTGGAAACTGCTTCCAAAGTATGGGACTTCACCATTCGTGCTTTACATTTACCTCCAAAGAGTAATGAGAAGGGAAACCTGTGTACAAGTGATGACTGAAAGAAATATACTGGCCCACAAGGTATGGCAGAGTTAGGCAACTGAGGAAGAGAAATGAATAATTCTCACATCCTTATTGCTTTAAATTACCAATGTGCAAAATTCAGGGATTCAGGAAGCAAACATTCCAGAGTACACCTGAGAATTCTGAACCCTCTCCAGACAATGCTGAATCTCTCCAGTGTGGAATATGCCACACTGGAGACAGTTTTGGCACCATTTCCAGAAGTAAATTCCTTGAATTAGAAGCAGTTTGAGATACTATAGCCATGATGTTCTGTTTCTGGACTGCAAAAATTTGCATATCTCTACACTAAATTATAAGTTAACAAAACTTTTTTTAAAAAAACTACATATTAAGCTACTACTGTATATGTGTGAACAATACAGGACAACAGGTGGAAACAAAATTGACAAACTAGCATACTGCTGTAATCGATGAGTTCTTGGTCTGACACACTCACTATACAACTATCAAATTTGATTTATTATCACTGGTAGTTAAGTAAAAGAATAAGGAAACACTGATACCAACTCTGGGACTAAAATATGTCTCTCAAATAAAACTGGTTATTCTATCTAATATAGTAATTGAGAGTCAGGCAGCATACAAGCGTAATATTTTATGATTATACAATTACTATTACTATATTATATTGACAAGAATCTTTATTTGTTAATATTTAACATTTATAGAATAATCTTACATACAATAATGATCTCTACAGACATACCATTAGAATTAAAGAATAGTTTACACAAATTAGATGCAACTCTGAAATATTAGATATATACTGAAGTTCATTCAAAACCATGACTGCATGTAATTAAATATGTATTCCATGTTGTGTGGGTGGGTAAACAGTATTGTTATTTGCTTTCCTGAAGAGGCATAATTATCAATGTCTCCTTGGACCAAATTTAATTCAAACTTCCCAGTTAAACATTGAATAGTATAGAATATTTCCCTTGTCAGTGAAGAATCAAAATGAAGGAAGATCGATAAATGCTGAACTGCTAAAAACGTATGGCTAAACAAAGCTTTATACTTATTTATATTTATGATCCTATGAAGTGAGGAAAGCTTGCTTTATAAAAATGGGTAAAAGTAGCTTAATGTATTTTTTTGTGGGGGGAGGCAATCTGGTATCCTTCAAATGTATGGACTATAACTACTAACTCCCCAATCACTAAAACCCTTGGCTATGCTAGTTGTGATTTACAAGAGTTGTGATCTAATCTATCTGAAAGGTGTTAGGCTGGAAAAGGTTGCTTTAGGTATTCAGAAGATCCCAAATGTATCTATTGTACCTACTACTGTATCTATGCATTAAAACATAAAACTGTTAAAAAATTCTTGACAAGATATACTTTAAGTGTCCATTAAACCCACTTTTATACAACCTCAACAAACTGTATTTTGGCAAATCACATATTGTTTTCCTTGAACAACTAAAATATTGTCTTTTCAATTTCTTATCTAGTCACATTAATTTGCAAACATAAGCAAAAATTACCTAACATAACAAAATTAAGTCCATGTAATCTCACATAATAATATTTTGCTTGAATAGAATATTGAACAATATTTACTCAGAAGTTTAAGTTCAATGGAACTTAATTTAGGACACACTTAAAGTTAAGTATAGCACTGTGGCAACTAATGATTTATATAAATTGCACTCTATTAATGCTTATTGGAAATAAAATATAATCAATATTATAATTAAAATCATGTTAGCATCTAATAGGGGTATATTAAGAATTGAAAACGAGCTCTAACAATAGTCAATTTAGCAAGACCACAGAATATAAAGGCCAAACAAGCAACAGTTTTGGTGATCTTACCAGTTTTATAACAGAAAATTATTAAATTAAAAATAGCAACCAACATCCAATAAGAAGATGACCATTTGAATTTGAATGACAAAAGCAGACTTACACACTACATTTAAACCATACACATTTTCTTAACATTTAGGAATGTTATCTTTTAAGGACTGCGTTCTGAACGTTTCTGCCTTCCTCCAGGTTACTCTACAATTCACTTGGACTATATGTGGGTAGCAGAGACCTTGTTCCTTACCAAACTGACGGTACAGAAATCTGTCTACGCCAATGTTTACAAATGCCACCTTTCCCCAAGTACAACAGGATGAGCTCCCCCACCCCTTTCCTGTGTTTCCTTTGCAGATCTGGCATTGTTTTATTACAGGCATCCGCCGCCCTATTTTTCGAAAAGTCCCTTCCTAGTCTCTCTTTCTCCACGTCTGTTGTTCGTTTGCATGCAGTCGCCACCTTTCCCTGCCGCGTTTCGGCGTCGCCTAACCCACTTTCCCTCTCGTCGGTCGCCCAACCACCCCTTCGCCCCCAGCCAGGTGCCGGACCAGCGGAGCGACGCCCCTCTCCCCTCTCCGCGTGAAGGGACGCCCCCGCCCCGGCCGCCCCCCTCCC